GTTTCCCAAATAATAGAAGCTTTTCTCCAACCAAACTCTTGCAGCAGGCTGTTATGTAAATGAAATAAAGGTGGATCTACTCTGGTTGGAGGGAAGCCAGACCCCCTGCCATCACTCCCCCCTCGCTCACTCAGGGAACACAGTTTAATGAAAATCACTGGACTAGACTAACTCTAAGGATTCTTCTGGCACTTTTGCTTTCCTCTAGCTATATTGACTTTGCAGTGGCCATTAGCCTATATATCCTGTCCCAGAAACAATGAGACTGGGTTATTAATCATCTCCACAGTCTTTGGAGAATTTGTTTGAAGGGTTGCAGAAACATGTGTTGCTGTTAGAGATGCATTTCAATGTCTGTCTCTGCTAAGCATTTATTAATAATCTTGTTAATCCTCACTCTAGTTCCCGGATCTAGCTAACGCCTTCAGATGTCCTTAGGGGCATTTTAAATTCTCCCTGATTTCTTGGACCCAGACATTTCCTTCTGCCTGGAGTCCTTTCTGATACTTACATTCATGAATATTTTACATTTAATCTCCTGATTATATCTCCATGTGATGGTCACGTTGCATTGGCTGCATTTCTAGGAGAAGACATACAGGAAGCCCACAGTAAAGGCTTGATTTTGCAGTCACAGTGCCAGAGATCTTTGTGCTTACCATTAAGATGGCCTTCTATCATGGACAGTGTCAGGGGAGATGCTGAATTGTGGGCTTTACACAGGAGATCTCGCCCTGGCTCATGGCCCAAAGGAGCTGGCATTTCACTCAGGATCAGATACCACCAGGAACTGCCCAATGGGCCTTGAGGGCCACATGTGGTTCCCTATGACCATAGTAGTTTCCCAGGCCCTGTCCTTCCTGCACAGTCTAACTCCAATATTACCATGCCTCCAGCCTGAGAGAAGAGACTCTGATGAACTGGTCTGCCCAAAGGAGTAAAAAGTCCCAAATGCCTGGGGGCTTGTGATTTTTAAAATCATCCCCAGGGAAAAGACAGTGAAGCCTACCACTCTCATGTGAAGGAAGGGATGGAGGGTTAAGGGGGAGATGTGTGATTGGAAGGCCACAGATTTAGAAGTCACCAGTATAAAAATATCAGTCCAGGCTGGGCTTAACAGCTCATGCCTATAATCCTGGCACTTTGGAAGGCCAAGGGGGGAGGATCACTTGAGGCCAGGAGTTCGAGACCAGCCTTACAAGAGCAAGACCCACATCTCTACAAAAAAGTAGAAAAATTAGCCAGATGTAGTGGTGCATGCCTGTAGTCCCAGCTACTCAGGAGGCTGAAGCAGGAGGATTGCTTGAGCCCAGGAGTTTGAGGTTGCAGTGAGCTATGATGACACCACTGCGCTCTAGCCTAGGAGACAGAGCAAGACCCTGTCTAAAAAAAGTCAATTCAAGCTACAACAGACATCAAGTTTCCCTAAGGATAGAGAGAAGGACTGAAGGCAGGACCCTGCAGAGATGACCAAGGGCTGTGGGAGGACACAGAAATGGCCATAGAGGTGAGATGAGCCAAGGGAGCACAGTGTCCTGAAAGGCATGGATAAATGGATGTGGTATGTGGTATGTGACAAATGCTACAGAAAAAGTGAAGGAATGTGATTGAGGAGCTTGGAGATGTGCCAGTGCTTCCCTGGTAGGGTCCTACCAGCATGCTTATGGGATTTGCCCTTTGAAAAGGCCTCTCTCCAGCTGCTTTAGAGTGAGCACTCCCTGTCACCCATTGTGACCAGAGCAGGTAGCAGCTGAGAAGCTGTTCGGCCACAGTGAGGCAATGTGAGCATCTCCAAGGCCATGCAGGGCAAGTGCTATGAGGAGTCTCCCAGGGAGGTTGCTGAGAGCCTGTGAAGATGAAGGATTGGGGAGGCTTGCATCATGGGAAATTACCTTAGATGCAGACACTATGGCACCTGACCTTTTGGGACAAAGCCTCCTCCCCCTGCCCCCTCAATCATGGCTAAGGGATAGGGATCAGAACAGAGGAAGGAGGCCCAGGAACTTGCAAAGCACTGTGGCAGTCCATAGCCCATGCAGGGGCTTATGCTCTGGATGGCCTGAAGGAACACAGACAAGGCTAGGATTTCCCTTCTAAACATTCTAGACTTTTGCCTTTTTCCTTAGTGACAGCATGTTTTTGTCCCTGCTGCCTCATTTTAAGGGAAACAGAAGGCACCATAATGGTTATATTAATATATCTTAGCCTCTTTTCGTCATCAGCCACCACTCAGATCCCTGGGCCCGACCCGGTGGCAGCATTCTCTCTGTCTGCTCTCTGCATCCCCAGAGGCCAAACAGGCAGCAGCCTTGGAAGCCCTCTGCAATCCTCATACCTTAGGCTTACCACTCTTCAGGCCCTGGTTAAAACAATAAGATGCCTAGGCTGGCAGCACCCATATCAACGTTCCATCATCTCAAGGAGAATGTGGATGGCTCCAGCTCCTTCCAACTGACTGAGACAGGGTGGGCTAGTACCCTGGATCTTGCAGTAAAGGAGAGTGTTTTAGAGGGGGTAGCAAAGCTAGATACGGATTCTGGGCAGCACAGGGCCCAGTGGGAGGAGGTTAGTGAGGAGGGCAGTGAGGGAGACTGAAAAGCTTGCAGACCCTGGACAATTCACAGAACGCATGCTTTCCTACCTTCCTTGTCATCTGTGTGATAGTATCAAGTGTTTTGCACTTTGGGCAGCCAAGGACTAACTGGCCACCTGCTGATTTGTCATTATTTGTCTTCTCACCTACAATACACAGCAACCTTTCAGGTTCTCCCAGGAAACAGTCTTTAGGATTCATCTGTGAACTAAAGAAGTCCTCATTAGAACTCTTTTTTGTCAAGTGGCTACAGCTTTGAAGTCTGGCCTGTTTGGCAGGTCAGTTCTCTGGATCTTGTCCAGAACTAGAAAGCAGAAGGAGAAGTCCCATCTCAGGGAGCACCTACTCTGAGCTTAATCCAGACTTCAACTCTCAGGAACCTACAAAGACCTTGCCAAACAAGCACACAGGAAGGGCCCAAGGAGAAGGGCCACTAGTATGGGAGTTAAGAAAAGGAAGTCCTGTGGGTTTAAGGAAATCATGGTGGCCTTTCTGGAGGAGGCTGGATCACAGGACTTTGAAGACAGACACCCAGCTGGGTGTAATTAGAACCAAGATCCTTGGCTTTTTTATCCAGCCCAGTGTCTTTGTCCCATGGTGGATGCGTCTGCCCTGCTCTCCCTGAATGCCCTGCCCGCTGCCAGTGGCAAATGCTCCCAGCAGCTCAGAGGGCAGGAGGGAAGGCTAGCTTCAGGGCTGAAAGCAGCCCCCTGTAGTCGCTTCCTAACAACTCCTTGTCTCTCTGCCTTCTCCCCATAGGACCCAGCCGCCGCCTCCATCTCAGACGGAGACTGTGACGCCCGGGAGGGTGAGTCAGTAGCCATGAATTACAAACCATCCCCGCTCCAAGTGAAGCTGGGTGAGTGTGTCTGGGGGATGAGGGAGATGTGGGGAGTAGACAGGTGCTCTGGGCTGGGTCTGCAATGAGGTGCCACAAATAAACCAACTCAGCCTAGGTGATTCCAAGACTCAAGCCACCAAGTCATTGGCACTGCCAGGCACCTTATCTCCTGCAAGGCAAAGAGGACAGCTGCAGTTCTCTGCAGAAGCCTGAAACTCTAGTTGGCATCTCTGAAGCCAAGAAGGTTCCAGGTATTCCAGGGGATAGCTGCAGGGGTAAAGACATGGGACCCCAGAGAGAAGGCTTGATAGTCCCATCAAACATGGGATTAGGCTGAGACAAGGCTTCCTTAGAGCTGAGGTATCAGTTTTTATGTCTGAAGGATGGAAAGGAATGAGGGTTCCAAACCCTAGAAGCTGAGCCTCTCACCCAATTCCAACTTCAGCCCATCCTGAGAACTTGGGGCCTGGTTGGCTCCTGTTTGGGAGTATTTTCCCTTAGTTTCTTAGAAAACCCAAATATCTCCCCCCTGGTCCAGGTCACCTTTCCCTTGGGGGTTTATCTCATGCCTACTCCAAAGTCAGTTTACTGTGCAGCCTGCTCTTTTGAAGTCACCTGGTTCCCAACCACTGCCCACAGCTCCTACAGCCACTGTCTCACTTCACCTTGAACATTGCCCCTCTCCCTTCCGGGACCAAAGTTTCACTGACTCAAGGCTGCCGTATATAACAGACTTTTCTAAAAAAAAAAAAAAAAAAAAAAAAAAATTGGTCTCATGAAGAGAAATCACAACACAGTGCATACAGGAAAGAGTTCACAGTGAAATATAGGTCATCACTATCCTTCAAAAAAAACTCCTCTGCCATCCTGGCTACCCTCCTGTCCATCTTTCTCCCCAGGCTCCAGCTGCCCACAAAATACTGGACCTCTCCTAGGCCCTAAGATTCCTTTCCCATCTATTCTAAAGCCCTCTCCCTCTGCAGCTGCCAGGACTCCTTTACACAGAGTCCTGTCCTTTTTAAATTTTTTTACCTTGCTTCTCTTCTTCCAGATCACATCCAAGGGAGCCCCTAAAGCTATTTCTCTAAACAAGAGAGCAGTTCTCTCAGTGGAATTTATTCATCTTCCTAAGACATCAGACTCAAACTGTAGCCAGTTTGATGTGTTTATTATTGTTTAATTTAACAATACAAGTATTTTAACAAGTATAAGTTCTCCTCTACTCTCCCCCATCACATTCTCCTCCCCAGAGGTAATCATCCTGAGCCTTTTTAGTTTTTTTAGTTTTATTTGGCACTTTAACATAAGTAGCGCCATATTGCACACGTTTTCTGTGCACATTTGCTCCCTCTTCCCCTTAACATTGTGGAGCCCCTTCCAATGTCAATATAGAGTGACTTCATTCTTTTAAATGGTTGCACAGTAGTCTGTAGTTTGGTTTGTGCAAGTTTATTTTTGCATTTTTTCACTATTTCAAACACCTTTAGCATGCTTTTAAACTAACATTATTTTTCTCCCCATTACATTGCCACCAAAGCTCCTCATGAAAATTCACAGCGTCGTTCCAGTTGCACTAAGGACAATTACCACCAGGAACTTTAAGGCAAATTGCACCCCCTAGAGGCTTGATGTGGTAATAGCAGCTGCCACCTGCTGGAAAGACAGAGACAAAAAACTGGAGTCAGATGAGCAGAGGCAAAGAGAGAGGGTCAAAGACTAGGAGAGGAGAGATTTGGAGTCAGGGGAAATTTCAAAGTGAGTCACAGTAGCTGTAAAGGCCCTTCCTGTCTTACTCACTGGAGCATGTGGTTATTTTCTGAGCCAGCCTTCCCCCAGTATCTGTCCCCCCACGGTTCCTTTCCATAGACCTGGGCTTTACTTGAGATGAGTGGGAAAGGGTAGATGGCCCTCCTCCAGGGCCCAGGCAGCTACTTCTGGTGACAGTTGTCACACACCAGACAGCGGGTCATCTGATGGCCAGCCCTGTGAACCAGGTAGGCTCTGGAGCGTTGGAGAACTCAGAAGCTGGCAGAGGAGTTGGAGCATCACTTAGGCGGCATAGGCAGATGGGCTACCCCAGCCTCCCCTCACTTCACAGCCTTCAGTGGCTCCTTTTCCCTTGTGCATTAATCCCAAACTCCTCTGTCTGGCATTCAAGGCCTTCACACTCGGAGTTTGTAATCAGAGGGAATTTTCAGGCCCTTAGCACAGGACCTGACATGATTGGTGACACAGATACCTGTTGAATGAATAAATGACTGAAAAATGGATCATAATTTTCTAACCTGAACTTTCTCCCTCTTCACCCCTCTATAACAATCAGATCCACATGTATGTTCACTTCTAAATGCATTTTTTTACACACTATTTCATATACTCCTTCCTAGAATGCCCTCCCCTCTCCAGCTCATGGTGTTACCTACAGGAAGCCCTCCCTGACTGCTCCAGCTGTCTGTGAACATTTCTCCCTCTCCAGCCTTTCCCTGCTATCAAGCACACACTAACTGCCCCACATGGGAGTTGTGGCTCCTGGAAGACAGGGGTTCAGCCCCTTCCTTTTGCTCCCCACTATCTGCCCCAGCTTCCACAGGGCCAAGGACTGTCTCCACCAAGCAGCAAGGGCCTGGAGTGGGGATCCTCAGTCTCTATAGGAACAAGTGGTTTCACAACGGAAGCCCAGCCCAGGCTGCCCTCAGTGGTAAGGCAGGGTGGCCCTGAGGGCAGGACACAGCTTCCTTCCCATGTTCTCCTGCAGAGAAGCAGCGGGAGCTGGCCCGGAAGGGCTCCCTGAAGAACGGCAGCATGGGTAGCCCTGTCAACCAGCAACCCAAGAAGAACAATGTCATGGCCCGGACGAGGTAGAGGCCCTCTCTAGCCCACCCGGACCCTGCCAGCCTCCCCCTCTTCCCTCCCTCAAGCCCAGCTCCTCTCTGGGAGGAGAGAGCCTCCGCAGGATCCAAAGTGGGGGTGGGGGGGAGGGAGGTGGGGCCCAGCCCAGCCCCCTATCAGGTCTGTGTGCTTCTGATGCCACTCCAACCCCCAAAATTCTCCATCCAGGCTGGTCGTTCCCAATAAAGGCTACTCCTCGCTTGACCAGAGCCCAGATGAGAAGCCACTGGTAGCCCTTGACACGGACAGGTGTGTACGGGGCCCGAGGGCAGCTGGGCAGCCACAGGAAGCTGTGAGAGCACAAGTGGGCTGTATAGGCCACACCTGCTATATTGTTAGAAGGAGGGTATTCCTCAGCCAGCATTCCTCCAAGGGTGAACCCAACAAGTTAGGGATATTTGAGCCTAGAAAAATGAGGGGAAGGGGGTGAAGAGAGTATCTAGAAGGAAGTTAAGCATAGTAATTTATGTAGAAGGGTGGAGCTGGGAACCTGTCTTTAAAAACTTGCATTTGCACAGAAAACACAGTTTTGTTTTTGTTTTTGAGATGGATCTGGCTCTGTTGCCTAGGCTAGAGTGCAGTGGCATGATTATGGCTTACTGCAGCCTCAAACTCCTGGCTCAGCCTCCAGAGTAGCTAGAGCTATGGGTGCACCATCACGCCTGGGTAAATGTTTTTATTTTTTTGTAAAGACGGGGTCTCGTGATTTTGCCCAGGCTGGTCTTGAACTCTAGGCCTCAAGTAATCCTCCGCCTTGGCCTCCCAAGTGCTGGGATTACAGGCATAAACCACCGCACCTGGCCACAGTTTTTGTTTGGATTGTGCTATTTGGAACCAGGAGGGAGGGGTGGGGTGTTGACTGATGGGAAGGTGGGGGTGCAGGGAGTTTTCTACTTAATTTTTTCTGTTTAACTTCCCTAAATCATTTCTCTGTCCTCTTTCCTCCACGGCCAGCGATGATGACTTTGACATGTCCAGATACTCCTCCTCTGGCTACTCCTCTGCTGAGGTGAGGCCCTACCCCTTTGCCCCTAGACACAGCCGGGCAGGATTGTCTCTGTGGCGGAGAAGGGGTGCGGCCGGCCTGGGCCAACGCACACCCTGAGGGGAGAACTAGGCACAGCTGGGCGGAGTCCCATGCGGGCGCGGGGGCTGGGTAGGCTGGCATCGGAGAGAAGTTGCGGCCTCCAGCACGGGGAGCGGGGTTAGGAGCGTGGCTTGGGATTGGAGCCACGCTCTTGAATAGAGTGGGGCGCGGGCGACAGGCGACGACGACGCGGGGTAGGAGCGGGCCTGGAACAGAGCAAAACCAGGATGGAAGCAGGCCCAGAGGTGAGACTTGACTTTAGAATGGGGGGAGGGGTCTGTGGCGGGGCAGGGACTCAGGAGGACTTACAGTAAGCAAGTGGAGCCAGAGCCTGGGGATTGCGGACAGTGGGGGTGGGACGGGGCTGATACGCAGGTGCTGGCTGGGGCAGGCGTCGGGCCCTGGGGTTGCCGTGGACGGTGCCTCCCCACCCCGCCCCGAGCCTGACCTCCCTCCCCTTTGTCTACAGCAGATCAACCAAGATTTGAACATCCAGCTGCTGAAGGACGGCTACCGGTTAGATGAGATCCCCGACGACGAAGACCTAGACCTCATCCCCCCCAAGTCCGTGAACCCCACGTGCATGTGCTGCCAGGCCACGTCCTCCACCGCCTGCCACATTCAGTAGCGGGCGGGACCTCCGCGGCCGCCCGGGGCGGACCACGCGGGCCAGGTGGGACCCGGCAGGGGCAGACCCCCTCCCGGGCTCCTCCGCCTGCCCCGGCCCCGCGCCCCCTACAGCCGCCAACCTCGTAACAGTCATTGCTTCCTCCTATGGTAGGACGTGTACCTCTGTGTGTTCATGGAGCCGGAGAAACCAAAACCGGGTCTCTCTCCACCCCGGGGGCTGAGGAGGGGTGGAGGCTGTTTGTTCAGTTACTTGGGGGACCTCACCCCACACCCTGCCCTCCTCCCCAAGGCTGCAGTCCGGTGAGGGGGACAGAGGACTGGTTGGAAGAGAGGCCAGCATTAATGAGAGGGTGGAGGGATCACAAACCCCAGCAAAGCCATGAAACCCCCAGCCCCCGCCTAACAAGGAAAGGGGCTGGGGGGTGGGGTGGGGAGAGAAAGGCCCAGGGCAGTGGCAGCAGGTCCCAGCACTTCAGAGCCCCTTTCATGCACCCTTTGATGGCCCACGTACCTATTTGCATTTTTCCTCTCATCTGATGTGAAGCCTGGCAAAGCTGTCCAACCGATATTGCCCCTCACCCAAAGGATCACTGCCTTCTTCCTCCTCTTTGCCCCAGTCACCCCCTTCTTGCTCCCTGGGAGTGGGGCAGGGTAAGATGGGCCTCAGAGACAGGCCAGAGTTTGGGGTAGTATGATCTGTCCTCACTTGCCCCTAACCAATGCATCTATCTCTCTGCCACCTCCTCCCCATCCCCACTTCTGTTCATTGGTCTCAGTCCCAGGCTGGAAGCAGGAAGTAAGGCTGGCCTCCCATGTCCCATTCCATCTCACCCCAGTGCAAGATCTGGGAGGCTGGTTCCCAGTAAGAATCGTCAAGGAGCAAGCTTAGGAGAATACAGTGGGCCGAGTGGCTGTGTGGAGACGGTAGGGAGTACGTGGCAGAATGTGTGTGTATCTGAGGCTGTCAGGGAGTGTGTGTGTCTGTGTTGGCCAGACCTGTCTTTCCTGGGGTCTATTCCTGCCACAGATGTGGGTGTCCCTGTGGGGAAGTGACTATGTGTCTGTTTACGGTGTGAGAGGCTGGCGAGCAGTGCAGTAGACTGAGAGCCTCGCGCTGGGAGTCAGAAGCCTGGGTTCTGGTCCTAGCTCTGGTGCTCTCCCCGTGATCTTCAACAAGCCACTTGCTTTTTCTCGGCTTCAGTTTCCTCAACTGCAGAATGAACAGCAGCTGAAATTATTTTTAAGGTCCTTTTATACGTGAAGGAATTTCTTCATAGGAATGTCTGTGGAGGGGGATGAGGAGATCTCTGTGTGTCTTTGAGTGCACCCAGGGGGCCTCCTGAGTTGTGTGACTGTGTAAAAAGGAGAAGGGGCAGTTTCCATCAGGACCGTGTATGCCTGAATACATGTGGATCTGTCTGGGAACGCGTGTGTGAATGTGTATGGGTGGGCAGTGTCTATTCTGTGTGTAGCTGTAAGGGGGTCTGTGGGTCAGAATCTGTGCACTGCTGCTTCTGCTGCTGTTGCTGGTTTGGGGGCAGGGAGCAGGAAAGCTGAGGATGAAAATCAACAGGGAGAGCTAGGCCTGGTGGCGTCACCCATAGCCCTAGCTACTTTGGAGGCTGAGGTGGGAGCCTCACTTGAGCCCAGGAGTTCAACACTGCAGTGTGCTATGATTACACCTGTGAATAGCCACTGCATTCCAGCCTGGGCAACACAGCAAGACCCCACCTCTAAAAAGAAAAAGGAAGTCAAGAGGGAGGACGTTAGAATGGCTTAGTCTTTGCATAAATTAGAAAAAAAAAAGGAGGAGGAGGAGGTGAACAGCGTCCCCAACTTGAAGCCAGACAATATAGACCTGCCCCCCTGTGAAGGAAAATGAAAGCACAGGCAGCCTAAGACTGCTCAGGCCTATGCTCCACAAACCTCATATCCTGGGGCCACGGTGTATACTCCCCCATTCCTCCAAGCTGACACCCCACACGCTGGTGTAGCCACTCTTGTGGATACCACTCACGTGCTGCAAGCGTGTGATGGATAGGCCCATAGCCCACTCTCTGGACGCCAGTCCTGGGAAGTGAGAGCTGGAAGGGGGATGATGAAAGCAGGGAGTGAGGCTGCTGGCTTAGGAAAGGTAGCACCTCCGCCTGTACCACACCCAGGAGCTGCCAACTGCAAAGTGTTGGGAGGCAGCTCTTCATCCCCAACTCCTCCAACCCACCCCTGCCCCCCTACTGCAGGGACTCTAGTTAGATGATGAGAAAATGCCAGAGGCAGGGAAGGACAGAGAATGTACCTGCAGGGCCCACAAGGCTCATACTGGCCCCCATCTGAGCCCATCTCCCACCCTGGCTGGCATCCCCACCCCCTGTCATCTGGGTACCAGAGCCAGGCCACCTACCACCACTACCCTGGGCTCCTTGACTCACCCTTCTAGAACATGGGTACCTCCTCTTTTTTGGGCTTATCTAGACTGCTGCCTTTGCCACTGACTTGCTGTGTGACTCTGGCCCGTTGTTCAATCTCTGTGGCCCTGAGGAACCAGGGAAAAGGTCCCTCCCCACAGGACAACTAATTCCCTGGCAGGCAAGGGCTTCAGCTGAGGCAGTGTATGTGCAGCAGAGAGGCAGGAAGCTGGCAGCCAAGAATGTGTGGTTCCCTCCTTCCCTGTCTAAGAGGCTGGAGGGGAAGAATCAAGGCCTTAGCTTGCCCTCCTGCCACCTTCCCCCTTGTAGATACTGCCTTAACACTCCCTCTACCCTCAGCTGTGGCTGCCACCCAGCCAGGTTTCTCCGTGCTCACTAATTTATTTCCAGGAAGGTGTGTGGAAGAAATGAGCCGTGTATAATATTTTTTTTAACATTTCCATCGCAGTATTGATCATCATCCTTGGTTGTGTATCGTGTAACACAAATAATGATATTAAAAGCATCAAACAAGCCAGCCTCAGCTCCCTGCCTGGGGTGTGGGCAAGGGGCAGGTGGGCTGGGAAGGGACAGAACTGGTCCTCTGGATGCATATGTTACCTGTTACTCTACCTCCACCTGTGAGTCCCAGGGATGCCACTGATCTGCTGTAAGACCATGGGTGAGTCACAACCCCCAGAACCTGTGTTTCTCTTCAACAAAGTGAGAAGTGTGGCCTAGATCTCCAGAGGCCCTCTGAACTCTTGGAAATTGGGCTCTTTTGATAGGCTTGAGGCAGAAAGGAGCCAGAAGTAGGGAGGAAATTGGACGTCCTCACCCCCTAGGGATGGGGCTGAGCCAAGTGATATCATAATGGGCAGTGCCCATGCTGGAGGGAGAATCAGGGTGGGGTTGGAGCAGGAAGCTAAAGGATCCCCCACAGAAGGGGGTCACAGCAGCTAGGGGCACCTGCTGGGCTGAAGGTGTAGGCCAACTGGGGAAGGGGTGGGCACTGATGTCTAGCAAGAGCCCTTGCTAGGTGGAGTCCACCAGAGCATCACCGAGACCCCACCATGTTCCTCTTCTCCCGAAAGACCAAGACCCCCATCAGTACCTACACTGACTCTTACAGGGCTCCTACCTCCATCAAGGAGGTCTATAAGGACCCACCTCTGTGGGCCTGGGAGGCCAACAAGTTTGTGACCCCGGTAAGTGGAGGTCAGGGGAGGGGCAGACCAGAGTGTATGTATGGCAGTTTCTGGATGACTGGCAGTGTGTGGTTATCATTGTGTGTTTATAATTATTTGTAGCTTTGTGTATCTGTGTGTTTTATTCATTTGCCTAGGCACAGAATTTACAATGGTGTATAACATAGCATAAGATCCTGCCTTCATGGAATTGTATCAGGTTAGGAGGTAAGAAGAGATGGATAATAAGCAAGAGTTATACAACGTGTCCAAAATGCTATAAAGGAAATAAATGGGGTAATGGAAATGGAAAGGGAGAGGTCAAGGTGACACTGAACTGAGACTGGAAAGAAGGGAGAGAACCAGCCATGTGAAGAGCTGAAAGTTCCAGACAGAGTGATCAGAAAGTGCAAAGGCCCTGAGGCTGTCTGTAGGATAGGCCAGAAAATGTCCTATAGTTATGTCTGCATGCATGTGTATCACAATCTCCCTGTGCCCGTATGTCTGTGCTTGAAGATGGCTGGCTGAGTGGGTCCATGCAGCTTTCACAAAAGGGAAAGGAGGACGGGCGTGGTGGCTCACGCCTGTAATCCTAGCATTCTGGGAGGCTGAGGCAGGTGGATTGCTTGAGGTCAGGAGTTCAAAACCAGCCTGAGCAAGAGCGAGAGACCCCATCTCTACTATAAATAGAAAGAAATTAATTGGCCAACTAATATATATATATATATATACAAAAAATTAGCCAGGCATGGTGGCGCATGCCTGTAGTCCCAGCTACTCTGGAGGCTGAGGCAGCAGGATTGCTTGAGCCCAGGAGTTTGAGGTTGCTGTGAGCTAGGCTGACACCACGGCACTCACTCTAGCCTGGGCAACAGAGTGAGCCTGGCTCACACAGAAAAAAAAAAAAAAAAAAAGCAAAAGGGAAAGGAGATCTCTGAGTCTAATTATAACTCTGCCTAAGAGAATTTATCTGTGTATACCATCCAACGAAAACTTTGGTGAGTATCTTCATGTATGGGCACCCAGGATACAAAAGAGAAGGGCCAGACCCTGCCTTTAAGGAGCTCACAGCCAGCAAGTTACAAAGTAGGGATGCTCAGAGCGCAGCAGGCACCAGCACAATCAAGGGCTGATAGGAGGCCAGGCAAGGTGGCTCGCCCTGTAATCCTAGCACTCTGGGAGGCCGAGGCAGGAGGATCACTTGAACTCAGGGGAGACCAGCAAGAGTGAGACCCCATCTCTATTAAAAATAGAAAAAATTGGCCGGGCACAGGGGCGCATGCCTGCATTCCCAGCTACTCTGGAAGCTGAGGCAGGAAGATCACTTAAGCCCAGGAGTCGAGGTTGCAGTGACCTATGATAATGCCACTGCACTCTAGCTGGGGCAACAGAGTAAAACTCTGTCTCAAAAAAAAAAAAAAAGTTGAGGTGCTGATAGGACAGCCCAAAAGGGGCGAGCACTCCCGGGATGTGAAGGGCATGTCTAGTGAGTGATCTAGGAGGAGGAGGCTTTCAGCAGAAGAGAGTGGTGAGAAAAGGCAGCCTGTGGACAGGGACCCACCAGCACCTGAAACTGCTAGAGCAGACGGAGGGGTCAGCCCTGTGCTAAGAGAGGAATCTGCAGACCAAGAAGGGCCTCTTAGGCTATGTCGAGGAGCAGGGAATAAGGCTCCAGGTTTCTGAACCTGGGAGTGTCATAGTTGAATAATGAGTTAGGCCACCTGGTCACACTGTCAGGGAATTGGAGGGGTTGGAGCTGAGGGCAGGAAGGCCAGTGAAGGGTGAAAGATGAAGGAGGAAGATGAGGGTAGGAGATTAGGAGAGACTATGGCAGTGAAAAAAGGTATTTGTTGACTAGGAGAGAATTTTTTAAATAATATTTGTTGTCTAACTACAAAATAAATTTGTGCTCAATCCAGAAAATAAAGATAATTCAGAGAAGCATAAAGAAAAAAGGTCCATAATCCCACTACCCAAAATAACCACCCTTATTATTATTATATACCCTTTTGGGAAGCAAATATTAGTTTTTATAAAAATTACATTACATTGTACTAATACTTGAAACTTGCTTTTTTCACATAGCCATATAACAGGTACATTTTTATGTGTCAAAAATATTCTACAATATAATTTTAATGACTTTATAGTATTTTATTTTATTAATGTACCATAATATATATAAGGGATGTCCCTTACATATATTATGGTATATGTTATATTATTGGAAATTTATTATATGATTGGAAATTTAGGTTATTTATAAAATTTTGCTAGCATATTCATTCTTGCATATATATATTTTATAGTCTCTTAGTTATATATTTTAGATAAATATTTTATCTTCATACACTAAACACATCTCCAGCTATTGCCCTAGGATAAATATCTAGATATGACATTACTGAGAGAAAGGATATGCCCTTTTTTTTTTTTTTTTTTTTTGAGACATAGTCTCGCTTTGTTGCCCAGGCTAGAGTGAGTGCCGTGGCATCGGCCTAGCTCACAGCAACCTCAAACTCCTGGGCTCAAGCAATCCTGCTGCCTCAGCCTCCCAAGTAGCTGGGACTACAGGCATGCACCACCATGCCCGGCTAATTTTTTTTTTCTATATGTATTAGTTGGCCAATTAATTTCTTTCTATTTATAGTAGAGACAGGGTCTCCCTCTTTCTCAGGCTGGTTTCGAACTCCTGAGCTCGAGCAATCTGCCCGCCTCGGCCTCCAAGAGTGCTAGGATTACAGGCGTGAGCCACCGCACCCGGGCTGGATATGCCCATTTTTAAAATCTTTGACCTAGCACTCTGGGAGGCCAAGAAGGGCGGATCATTTGAGCTCAGGAGTTTGAGACCAGCCTGAGCAACAGCGAGACCCCATCTCTACTAAAAATAGAAAAAATTATCTGGACAACTAAAAATACATATAAAAAATTAGCTAGGCATGGTGGTGCATGCCTGTAGTCCCAGCTACTCGGGAGGCTGAGACAGAAGGATTGCTTGAGCCCAGGAGTTTGAGGTTGCTGTGAGCTAGGCTGATACAAAGGTCTAGCCTGGGCAACAGAGTGAGACTCTGTCTCAAAAAAAAAAAAAAAAAAACCTTTGATACACACTCCAAATTCCTATAATAATGGTTGTAATAATTTATACTCCCACAAACAAAATGCAAGAGTACTTACCTGCTTTTCCACAGTTAACAGGAGGGAATTTTAAGAAGTACATCAACAGATCTTGGTGACCATCTAGATATAAAGAGAGGAAAGATTAGGATGACTCCTGGGTTTTTGGCTCTGGCAACTGGAGGAATGGTAGTGCTACCAACTGAGATTTGGAGTAGCAGTTTAGATTTAGAGTTCATTTTGGAACAAAAATATTTGAGGACAAATATAGACGAGTAGTTGGATATACTTATCTGAAGTAAAGGAAAGAGGTCTGGGCTATAGATATAGATTTGAAGTCATCATCATGTAAGTGGTAGCTGAAGTCGTAGGAGTGGAGGAGATTGCCAAAGAAGAACAAGAAAATGGTCTCAGACACAGCTTTGGATAATATCAGTATTTAAGGGTAAAGAAAGAAGAGCCGTAAAAGGAGACAGAGAATTATGGCCAGAAAGATAGGAAGAAAACTAAAGAGAAACCAATAAAGACAGTATTATTAAAGGTCAGTGTTAAATATTGGCGACACAGAAAGGGATCTCTTGGATGTAGTAACTCTTGGTATCTGGCCAGACAGCTTCAATGAAGGAAGAAAGTGAAAGTCAGATAGCAGTGGGATTTAGAATGAAGGAAAGGCTTCTGCCAGTATGGTGGTCTGGAAACTCTGAAGGACCCTCTTGCTTCAAAACAACTAAGTCCTGCATGAAAATTAATTTTTATTTTGTCTTGGACTCTCATGGGGGTGAGTGGTGTACTTAAGACAGGACTGCCCCAAGGACAAATGCCAATATCAGCACTACAATAGGAGTCTAAGCCTTAAGCTAAGAGGAACTGAATCTGTAAATTCCAAACTGAACTAGAAGGTTTCATATCTCTGGCTCCCTGCCCCTCCCCAACACACACACACACACACACACACACACACGTACGTCTATCTTTGGTGGCGGAAAACATCCTCAGTGTAGGTTTCCAGGTATCCTTCAGAGTAAGGCCAATTAAACATGGGCTCACAATAAGAGATATGAAAAACCAAACCACCACATTACAGAATCAGCAGAAATAACAAACAACAGACTTAAACCCCCAAGGATTTCAGATATTGGAATTAACAGTTAATACAGAAAAATTAGGAGATTTATTAAAAATGGGAAATCATCTAAATAAGCAAGCAATAAGAGATTATTTTTTAAATGAGAAGACAAATGTTAAAAAGGCCAGGAATGGTGGCTCACACCTGTAATCCTACCGTGTTTCCCCGAAAATAAGACCTACCCATAAAATAAGCCCTAGCAAGATTTCTAAGCATTTGCGCAATATAAGCCCTACCCTGAAAATAAGACCTAGTGATGGGCGTGGCTACGCAGCGTATCTGTACAACCCATGCATTCCGTCTTGGAGCGGTAAAGAAGATGAGCAGCCCTTCTCATCTGCCCAATGGTGACAGCTACTATCCCAGAGGTGACTCGAAAGGTGCAGGCAGCCCCACCAACAAGGTCGGCTCCCGTCAGGTCCGGCAATCCTGTGCATCCTGCAAGCTGAGGTTTTGAGGGGAAAATAACACATCCCCTAAAAATAAGCTCTAGGGTGTCTTCTTGAGGAAAAATAAATATAAGATCCTGTCTTATTTGCAGGGAAATATGGTAGTACTCTGGGAGGCCGAAGTGGGAAGATCACTTGAGCTCAGGCATTTGAGACCAGCCTGAGCAAGAGTGAGAGCCCATCTCTACAAAACACACACACACACACACACACACAAATTAGCCAGGTGTAGTGGCATGCACCTGTAGTCCCAGCTACTCCAGAGGCTGAGGCAAGAGGATCGCTTGAGCCCAGGAGTTTGAGGTTGCAGTGAGTTAGGCTGATGCCACTGC